TGAAGAACCACGCGAGGTATGAAGAACCACGCCGCTCCGGGTCCTGACGGTATTAACGCCTTTTGGTGGAAGAGGTTTACCTCTGTGCATGTCCATCTGGCTCGGATATTCACGGCGTTCCTCGACGGCGGTGAGTCTGTTCCTGAGTGGTTGGTGAAGGGGAGGACTGTGCTGATGCCGAAGAAGGGAGACTTGACTGACCCGGCGAATTATCGGCCGATCACGTGTCTGACTACACTATATAAGCTCTTCGCCGGTATCTTGAATGAGCGTATCCTCCATGATATACAGCCAGTGTGGCAGCAGATTCACGAACAACGAGGAGCGAAGAGGGGACTGTCAGGTTGCAAGGAAGGTTTACAGGTCAATCGCTGCGTATTGCGCGATTCGTTGCAGTACCATCGCAATCTGTCGGTGGCCTGGGTCGACTATCGCAAGGCATTTGATAGCACGAGCCATGAGCTCATTTTCATGCTTCTCGAATGCCTTGTGGTAGAAGACAACATAGTGAGATGCATTAAATATCTTGCGCCTCTCTGGAGGACGCGCTTCACTATAACATCTGGTGAGGGGAAGCTGACTTCAGGGTTGATGCAATTCAGGAGAGGAGTTTTCCAGGGGCGACACCCTGAGTCCTCTTCTGTCCTGCATCTCACTGATGCCGCTCTCTGTTGCGCTGCGTTGTGTTGGGGGATATCCAGCTGGAAGACCTGGCGATAGGAGGCACCAAGTTAGCCATGTATTTTACATGGATGATCTGAAGTTATTCGCTTCAGGAGAACGACAGCTCAAGCTTCTGCTTGACGTTGTCGCAGTGTATTGGCGTGCGGTTGGCATGAGATTTGGGTTGGGCAAGTGCGCCGTTTTCCATCTAAAGAGGGGCAAAGTCAGTGACGAGATGGGTGATCTTCAGCTTGTGGATGGAAGCGTCATACATCATCTTGGCGCCGAAGAGTCATATTGATATCTTGGCTTCAATCAGTCAAGTTTGGAAATCCGAACTTTCCGGGAAGAATAAAGTCGCCGCATCGAACATGTTCGCTGTCCCGGTGCTTCTCTACTCCTTTGGAGTTCTCAAAGGGAGTAGAGGTGAACTGAAGCAGCTGGACAGAAATACCCGCAAGCTGATGAATATCCACAGAAGTCTCCATCCACGCTCTTCGAGTCCGCGGTTATATTTTCCGCGGGAGAGTGGGGGATGAGGACTTCTCAGTTTGGAGGCTCTACATGATCGTCTAGTCCTCGGTTTAGCTTGTGACGTTGTGAATGGTTTGGATTAGCACTTGGAGTTCGTGTATGATCATGAGCTGCTTGGGGTTCAAGCCTTCCTATATAAGGCAGCAGATACCACAGCGGCGGTCCCTCGGTTTGGAATTTCGTCGTGGCCGAGATGGTCAGTTGGTTGGTGATTTATTAGCGATCATGGCCAAATCTCGGCGTAGAGCGACCATCAAGGCGGCGGAGCAGTCCACCTTGTTCCGCCAGCACATTGATAGGCCCATCATGGTGTGTTCTTCCGCCATGTGGAAGAGCAGGGTCGCTCCGTCCAGCTGACATTCTCTTTCTTGAAGTCAGCTAGCTTGATGTCCGAAACTGAGCGGTTCATTTGCGCCTTCTAGGTGTTATGGGGTTGCAAGTTCCAGACATTCGATGTCGGGCTTGCAAGCAGTCCCCGGAAACTCTGACGCATCTTTTATCGGCTTGCCCGACATATGCCATCACGAGTTATATCCATCGACATAATGCGGCTTTGAGAGTGCTGTATTTCCATCTGCGGCACTCTTATGGGATAGACAGAACACCACTGCTGCCGTATACTCCAGGAGATATTGAGTCCGTTGTCGTGAACGAGAGGTGTAAGATTTACTGGAACTTCTCGTTCGCGACTGTCAGGTCAATCGTTGCGACGAAACCTGACATCGTCCTCTTCGATTCTCATGACAAAATCATCTACGTTATTGAGTTCTCAGCTCCGGCTGAGAGCAACATCACAGTGAAAGAAGAGGAGAAACGGCTCAAATACCAATCACTCCTGTTTGAGCTACGTGAAATAAACAGGGGATTTAAAGTGAAGTTGGTTGTCCTTATCATTGGCTCTCTTGGGGGAATGAAGGAGTCATTCATATCTGCGCTCAAAACCATCCCGGCCTGTAGGCGTCAAGCCTTCAGCTTGGCTGGTGAGATGCAGAGGGCAGTCATCCTCGGTTCCCTCCGTCTGCTTAGGCAGCATGATTCTGGACTGCAATAGAGCTCACCCTCTGGTTGGAGGGGGCACTATTGGAGAGCGATTAGGAAGTGTTTGCATCGCTTAGCTTGCTGGGCGGTCTTCGAGGTGAAGTCGGAACCCTCGAGGATCGTTCAGCGATCTCATTTACGAGTAAAAAAACATAATAATAATAATGGTAATAATACGATAACATGAAACACGAGGAAAAGAAATAGTCAAATTAAAATTTCAATCACAGACAATCCAATCGGAAGCAAATTACTAATTTGCTGGCAACAATAATGATATTCAGTCACAAAAAATGCAATTAACCACTTATCTCATTGTTTTATAAAAGTTTTTATGGGACAATTTATAAAAATGGTTCATACGTGTCAATACACTAACAATGTGAGGGCCGGAATGTCAAGCATTTAATGCACTTTGATTACGTTTGGACTATAGTTCTGGAGTTTATATAAAAATCATGGAAATATTGTCAGTAGATTTTATCAATCAATTTATTTCATTGCTTCGACATACATGGTCCGGTACAATCCGGAGTTGGGATGACAGCCTTACAAAGGCGTTCCATTAGCTCGTACAACTAGGAATTCACAGAGATTCTCACAAGTCATACGATCATAAGATTCTCCATTACATACATATTTCGATTTAGGTTTCTATAAATTCAATTTATAAACATCAAAATTCGTTTCAGTCATCATTTGTCCACCTTCATCAACACATGGGAAAGAGTGGGATGAATGGAAATTTTCAACTTGAAAAAAAAATTTGTATCTCAGAAACGAATTCATCAATTGAGTTCTGTCTGGATTCAGTAACGAGTGGAAGACAAACATAGCATTTCATCAACCGTTTAATAAGGTAGTAGGATTTTGAGGATAGTTAAAAGTGTCCAGCTTATCCCACCCTCCACTGATGTATTATACATAACGGAAAGTAATTTTTTTATACGGAGAGAAAAATTAGTTGAAAATAACTCGAGAATTTTTTAAATATTGTGGTGGTTGATCTTTCAGGATTTATTTCTCAAAACTAGTAAAAGAAGCAATGAGTTTAACAAAAATTCCAACATTTCAAATAAAATTTCACAAAAATATCGTAATTTTTAATAGAGTTCTGGTCAAAATTTCTGAAACGCCAGTACGCTACAATTCCTAAAATATTAATTCGTAATGCATGAAATACGGTTTCGGGTAGTTTTTAAAGTAATATGAATAAGCTCCAGCAGAATTGTTGAGTAAGAAATTTGTTCAACAAATTCTTTCTTGAATTATTTTTTAAACAATAGTTTCTCGTTTGAGCAGGGAGTTTCGACTTAACACACCATTACGAGTACGCAGAAACATAAATTATTTATTAGAAAAGTCTGACACTGACGATAATTTTCATATTATGCATAGAATTTTTTTTAATTTTTAACAAAAATTTTTCGATTCCAATCTTCCCCTCAACGTCGAAAAGTTCGTTTCCTCATAAGACGGCATCATTTTTATACTTCTAGATTGATTATTATCAATAATGCTAGATTGTTGATTGAGCACAAACTCAACCGGAATGTTTCAATTCATATTAACTTTCGTTTAGAATTTATTTCAGCTTTTAATCTTCAAAATGGAAGTTATGTTTATACTACTTTAATCTGAGAAAAAGCAACAAATGTAGAATAGAAGAAAGATTTTCCCTGTTTATTCTGAAAAAATTATCGCAGTGGGAGTATAATTTCTCCGTGGCAGTCCATTGCAAGGTGAAGATAGAAATGAGTCATAGTCAACATTACGATAACGAAGAGTTGTAATTTTTCCCTAAATGGAGAGCTCAAATTTCACTTAACATCCTTCAAAATTCATAATAATCTAGAGCAATTTTCATAACATTTCCATTCTACCGCACGATTACATTTTGCTCCGTAATTTTCATCTTTATTATCGAGAAGTTTTCTATTATATATATTTCTCAGTTTTCTCATTATTCATATATTTTGTAAAAATCACAAAGTCCTGATAAAATAACACCCCATAGTAATAATTTCTCCAGAGTTCATGTACGAAAAAAATCCATAGAAAAACCCAGCGAATTCGCTAAAAAATTCAACTGAATTTTTATTGAACTTTTCTTTTCAATAGAAATGTTCAATAAAATTCAATTTCTCTATGAAAAATGTACTACTGAGATATTTTATATCAAATCTCCTCGGCTTAAATTCTCCAAGTTTTTTGTTTGACCTTTTTTATGAAAAGAGAAGAACACAAAAAAAAATAAAGTGGAAAAAATTTAGAAAATTTATTTCAAGGAATTCCTATAGAAAATATCTCAATGGAAAAAGTTGTATAGAAAGATGAAATTCTCCTTATTTTGTTGTATAAAATATTTTCTATTGGATATTTTGTAAAAAACGCAGAGTAAAGCTCCGGAATTCTTTAATAGAATCGGCCGGAAACTATTAGAATTTTCAATAGAAGTTCAATAGAAATTGAATAGAATGTCCAATAGAATTCGCTAAGTTTCCCTATAAAATTTTTTGGTGCGTGTTATTCCACTATAACGGAGGCTGTTGAAATAATTCGTCAATAAAATGACTATCAGCTTCCAGGTTTATTTTTCATCAGCCGAATGTCAATGTAACATTACACCACTCCGTTAAATCCTCCACTCGGAATGGAAGGGTAGATTCTTGGATTTTGATATAATGATTTGCGACACGGTTGTGTCCCCCCTCCCACCTGGACGTGCGATTCTTTCTCGCGGTCTCAAGAATACACATGGAAACGATCACATACACGTTCAGGGAAGCAAGTCTTTATAAGTAGAAGCCATCCGAGTCCCCGGGACTTACTCCCTCTTGAGACGCGCCACGATCGGACGATTTACAGAAAATCCATTTGCGTTACAAAAATTGCGGTAGAGAGATCATTTTCCGCGGCTCGAGGAGAACTCTGCTCCACCGAGAACTAGTCTTGTATGTTCCATCCGTTCAGTTAATTTTTTTCTCTCAATGATTGACTCGCTATTACAATTGTTATTCACCTGAATATTTCATTGTTCCTTTGATTGATAAAGCGATCGAAATTGCGACAATTTCAACATCGAGGAGGATTGTCGACGGCCTAGGGGGTTGAGGGTGTCCATGGTGTCAAGTGCGAGGAACGTCACGGCTGAAAAGAATGTTCATTAACGGGTGAGTCCTCATTCACTCAATAAAATAAACCTAAGACCGAACAATCATTGATCACTGAACTTACTCATTGCCCGTGCACTGATGATCATTGCACAATAACATTGCAGCAATATTTCTTCGTAACAATTATAAATTTTCCAAACGTATAATTACCCACGATTCAGAACTTTCCGCTTCCGTATCGATTCTTAACGCCACGATTCACCTCAATTCGAAAGAGAAAAAAAAATAAGAAAAAATATGCAACCAGGATTTAGATCGTTCAGAAAGGAAGTTACAATAAGGAATGTCGGTATTACGAAACACCCTTGCCCCTCAGCTTTAATTCTCCACTGCCCCATAACACTGAACGCTTATTTGTTATTGTCCTTCAGACATCATCGAGGCCATAATCCTTATATTGATCGTAGTATTATTTCAAAATTATTCGCACGTTTTCAGCAAACCAATTTTGAGTGGCAATGACACACGTGACGTTCAATGTATCTCAGAATTATGTTTAATGTATATGACCAGTGATTGATGTCACTCCTGGATGATTTGATTCAGAAGTGACATCATGAGATAGTGATCCACTATCTCATCAATGGCTCAACAATTAAGAAATTAAATTAATTCGTGTAGTCGCATAATTTCGTAGAATAAATTCCATGTAATCGTAAACAATTGCATTGAATAATGCATGGGGGTGGGGCTTTTGAAAGGAGCAAAAAAGTTAAAGAGAAGCAGCCGATAGCATCGATTGTAAATTGACATTGAACTCTCTCGTGGTACCCACTGGACATATCCTCGACATTGCACCGTGGCGCAACGGCCACCCATAAATGGTGAAGGCTCCAGTGCCACCGGAATGTTGGTGTGCTTGTACATCCAACCCTTTTGCCCACTGGATATCTCATCTCTATGCACTTATATACAATAAACATTAAATCAAAATATATGACTGTGCAAATACGTCAGACTGAATGTTTTTGTCCGAGACTTTAGTGGATTTTAACGATGGTACTCAAACCCTTAAAATTATAATCTATTCACTCCGGTATCATGATACTTCGAGGTCAGTACTATAAACAATAATAAACAAAAACTGAAGATGAGGAGAAAATCGATGAACGGATGGTTTTACTGGTATAATCGTAAGGAATCGGTTCTAAGAGAATCATTGTAGCATCGGTTTTGAAGTAGTACACGCAGAAAATTATTTGGTGAATGTAAATTCAATAACTAGTTGAGATTCACCAATTAGTTGTTAAAATTCATCAATTTGTTGTTGAAAAAAATGAATTACCAACTAGTTGGTGAATTTCAAGAACTAGTTGTTGAATTTCACCAACTAATTTGTTGAAATTCACCAACTAATTGAGTCGTCACTACATTGAGTTGTCTTAGTTGTTAAATTTCACCAACTAATTTGTTGAAATTCATCAACTAGTTGTTAAAATTCACCAAATAATTTTCTCCGTGTACGACAATAGTATGTTTCGATACAAGTGCGGAAAAGTGTTCTTTTATCATTCGACATACGACCTAAAAAAACTTTTCTAGCTCATATGATTGCAACCCTCGCCTTCGGCTCGGGCTGAAAACTCATATTCGCCAGAAAAGTTTTTTTCGGCCTAATGACGAAACATTATTTTACGTGTGAGAGGTATGCAATACTACCCTTCCACGTACCAAAAATAGTATATTTCAGGGCGAGCGCCATGGGGTTTTTTACTCGCGTGGAGTGGGTGACCGAGCCGAAGGCGAGGACTGGTCAACCACGCGAGTAAAAAAAGCCCATGGCACTAGCTGTGAACGATATTTTTTCCTAGTGATTTTCACTGTTACGAGTTTAGGGGAAGGGTCAATACCAATCCCCGAACGAGGAAAAGTGACAGTCAGTACTGAAAACACTTTTTGTCATTCCGGTCGTAAGGACGCTATGCGTCCGTGAATCACTGCCTACAGCTGGAATGACAAAAAAAATGTTCGTCACGGCCTCAAAAAAACTTTTATAGCTCATATGATTGCAACCCTCGCCTTCGGCTCGGATGGCAAATTCATCTTCGCTAGTCAATTTTTTTTCGGCCTTATGACAAATGCTACTTTTCATCACAATGCGTGTAAAAGACATTTCACAATTAACGCAACGGAGTTTGACGCAACGCTTGGAATTATTCAAAACAATCGTTCAACTTTTTTTCGATTGTTTCGAGCAATTTTGTCACACACTGAGAAAAAAATTACTATTGCCAAGGAATCGTTCTCTCGAAAGGAGAATTTATTTTTTGAGGAGCGTATTTCTCCAAGCCAATCATTCTCAGGTGGTCCATGTCCATCTCCAAATATTACAATTATGTTGAATTATGAGATGATTATGCTACATATGACCTTGAATGAACACCCTTCATTATTTTTCATTTTTTTCAAATTAGAAATTTTCTTATGTAAAATTATTTGGAATAATTCGAAATGTTAACAATTGTCAATGGAGTTCATTTAACGTCATATGTAGCATAATCATCCCATAATTCAACATAATTGTAATGCTTAGAGATGGACTTTCCACCTGGGAAGAACTGGCTTGGAGAAATATGTTCATTAAAAAATAAATTCTGCTCCCAAGACAATAATTCCTCGGCAAAAGTATGTTTTTCTCAGTGCAGAAAACGGGAGTTTATATAGCGTGCCACATCTTGTGACGTCACACGCGGAGAGAAATGTCCAGTAAAAATTACGGAACTTACAATTCGCTTACCGATCACGGAATCGACTTAGAAAATTTAAGTGACGGTGTCGTAGTTTTTCACAGGAGATCCAGGTAAAAATTACGGAACGATCTGGAAAAATTTCGTGACAGTTCCGTAAAATTTCCTACAGCTACATTTCCCTCCGGAATCACGGAAAAGATACGTAATTTTTATTGAATATTTCTCCGTGCAGTATGTTGTCGGATAGGATTTTGGAGTAGGTAGGAGAGGAATCAGGATAATTCTCGATATTAGTAAACAAGAAAATTTTACTGAAGAAATTGGATAGTCAAAATGACACGCATTGCGTTAATTGTGGAATCTCCTTTACGTTAGGTAAAAATTCTTTTCAACCTTTTCTAATTCACCTGCCAATTTTAGAAATATCTGGAGATATCTAGAGTAATTTGGAGACTCTGAAACATGATTCGAGTACCGCGGATGCACTAGTTTGCTGATAGTCAATCCCATTTAAGGTATATCCCCAGACAATCGGACCCAAAAGTTAGTCCCTATGGAATTTCGGAAAAAATTCTAAATAACTTAGTTTATTTCATTCTCATAAGTTATTGCGTTTTTCTATTCTCATGTGTTGTTGATGCAGGCAACAATAAGTGTTTGAATCAAATAAGAAATTATTTGTTAATTAATTTTTTGAATCAAATATATAATGCTTTCACGAAATTGCCATTTTTTAGAGTTAAATATCGCAGAAACTATGTAGTACGAAATTTTACAAAAAATTCACCGTATTTGGAATTTATCAATCTATCACAGATTAGTTTTTTAGGAACATCGTAAGAACCGTTTTCTCGTAAGATGAAAAAATCGCGTTAGGGGGGGGGGGGCATAGCCACCGTTTGGTCTATGCCTCGCGTGTTAGAAGACCGCATTTCATTATTCATTATCTCCTAAACTATGTAGTACAGCTAGTTAGCATTTTTTTCAATGGCTGGGGACTATTATAAACATTAGCTATGAAAAACATGGGAACAATCTTAAGAAAAGAGTGTTTTCTAGCGATAAACCTTAAATAACACGTCCGAAAACTGGCCCTTTTTGATGGCCGATAACTGGGGCTCTAAATTTACCCATGGAAGGACGGGGTATCGGAAAACTAGTACATCAGTTTTTGCCATCATTTATTCATTCCTATTTTCATTGGAAGAATTGAAGATTAAGATAAAGATCAGGACGCATCAATAAATCTCATTGATTCTTCAGACATGATTCATCCTGAAAATTTCTTATGATTCAAGTTTTCCTTCAAACCTAATCCTAACGGACAATGTTTTGTACAAAGTATAATGCGCTAAAAAAAACATTGACAAAAACTTTGACATTTTTCACTAAATGTGAATCTAATCTTCAAGTATCCAAAAATATATTCACCCTCATAGCACTAAATTTACCCATTCCCTAAGAGTTTCCCACCAAAAGCGGAACTTTTCGTAAAAAGTTTTTAAGAGCCCCCCCCCCGAAACTTTAAAGTGTGCGGGGTGACTCAATGGACCTTTCGAGCGACATTTGATGGGGTGTCACATCTAAAAAAATTACGATCATGTAAAATTTAACCCATTTAGCCCCATCGTGTATAGTGATGCCGCGAGACACTTTACGAGACAAAACTTTGGAGAGATGATTTCGGTGTCAATGAACAGGAAAATCGCTGCTCTCGTCTCAGTCTCGACATACGCAGTATCGACTCCTCTCGTGATGACTCTGAGTCAATTTATCTCATTTCGGTCTCAAGTTTTTCAATGTAAAATCTCGGTTTTTGTCTCGGCTTGTCTCGTCTCGGTTTTCTACATATAAAAAACGTGAAAAACTGGAAACCGAGATGAGATAAATTGACTCGGAGTCATCACGAGACGAGTTGATACTGCGCATTTCAAGATTGAGACGAGACCAAAATTTTTCGTGTTCATGGAGACCGAGACAATTCCTCCAAAGTATTGTCTCGTGATGTCTCGTGAAATGTATCGCGGCATCACTAGTCGAGTATGCTAAAATCTCATGTTTCCAGTTTTCGCCGAAAAAATGCTCCATGGACCACAATTTTCCTCAAATTTTGTCTTTTTTTTTAATGTCCGTTAAACTGCAAAAAATAAAATTTACTATCCTGTTTTTTTTTAATGTCAACAGATGATGGGAAAATCTTTTTTTCCGATTTTCTCTTGCTCGGTTTTTCCTTAACAAAAGGCTGTTTCGAGGGATTGAAAATTCCAACGGTACACAGAAGGTATTCAATGAAAACAATGTATACCAACACGTCAACTTCTCAAACCAACTTTTTTTCAGACGTGATAAAAAAGCAAGCACTCGTGATCTATCAAAAATTGAAAAAAAAAACGGATACCAAATTTTATTTTTTGGAGTCTAACGAACATTAAAAGAGAAAAAACTCCATCGGCCGAAAATTGTGGTCCATAAAGTATTGTTAGAGTGAAAACTCGAAGAACGAGGTTCCATGAATGACGGGGTAAAACAGGTTGAATTCTACACGATTCAGATTTTTTTATGCGCTCCATCATCCGTCACAAGTTGCTCAATAGGTCCATTAATCCAGCACAACTTTCAAGTTTCAGGGAGGTCCCCCCCTCGCGAACTACAAAAAAGTCTCCCCATTTTTCCCAAAGCCAACCGTACTATGTATGCATTTAGTTGACTTGTCCCGCTCAACCACTTTGCTCCTGAATGGTATCTCTAAACCATGAATCTGATACATCAAATTGCTGAGAAACATTCGTCTTAATAACACTCCATTCATCCATCACCTAAGACTCGTCTTACCAACCATTGTCGACTTGACTCCCCGAAGCTGAACAACTAATGTTTTTATTCCCTTCGTCACGCCAAGGTTGTGCTGCTTACCAATTTTTCCATTTTTTTCCCCTCAAAAAATTTTTATATCTACCCGTAGAAATCCCGTAGAAAAAAGGTGACAGAACATGGTGGAAGGCACGTACAAGTAATTTCCTTCGCCTCTATATCCCTTTAATTGCAGAATACCTAACAAGCAAAAGAAAATCTTCGTAGAATGATACACGAAGGCTGTAGCCACAGTGTAGTACCCGAGGTATCGTTATTATCGTTATCGTCGAGACAAGAAAAAGGAAAAACGAGACCAAACGGCGCATCACGTCGGCCCGAGAGAGTAAGGGAGTACCGCAGTAACGCGACCTTGCAGAATAACCGCGTCAAGGTTGCACGGTACGTTCAGCATCCCAAGAGACTTGGCCAGCCTCCTTAGGTTTATGTACTGGAGGCTGCTGGGTTCAACTACATCTCATCATAGGCCCTCTCCCTTTGCTATTACACAAAGGAGTATATATATATACCGAACTTATTGTTTTTGTTTTGATGATTCCCCTCCTCTGGTTTCTTAACGCGCCTCTGTGCAACTAAACCCAAGAGTTACTGTGCGTAACTACGTGATCACGAGTGTCTCTTTCCCTACGGGACTCGTCGTCTCCTCTTGATGCCAATCTCGCAATGCGCCCACTACTCAGACAAATACTTAATGTTATCCATTGAATTCCATTGACATTCCCTCGTGTATCTCCACGAGCCTATTATACCTGGATGATTGTTAACAATTTAAAGGATAAGAGAGAGAGAGAGATTTTTCTCACTTGTAATTTCAGATTTTTTTTTCCCATGTCTTTTTACACCTGCGTAATTTATCATTTATCCGTTCAATCGTCCCTGGCTTGCCATTTTTAACCGCTGATTCATAGAGAAAAATGCGAGCGTAAACTGTTATTTGAAATGACTGAATAGGGAACTTGCATGAATTTTTTTCAATTTTCTAATCTCAAGTTTGGGACCTGAATAATTCATTTTTCAATCACAAACGTTTGAAGTATTCGTTAAGTAGTCGTTAATTGATAATTAGTTGTTAAAAGTTGAAGATTTCCAACGCTTTGAAATCGCTAATGACGTCACACAGACGGACAAGCGCTGGACCAATCACAGAATGTCTCGAGCCGACCTAACCCAATCTTGAGGTGTGCGTCGGCCAATGGAGGACAACTCCCCGCTCTCTTCTTTTTCGACCAATGAAGCGTTACCTGACCGTCTTCGTAATGTCATGACCGCAAACTTGGTGTCGAAAACGAGTAATTTTTAATTAATTATCATAACACATCCACACTGTTAAGACTTTTTGTCTGAAATTTCCGATCCACTTTTTGGAAATTTTTATCGAATTTAATTACCACTGAAATTTCAAGGAATTTCGTCATTGAAAATTCAGAATTTCGTGGAAAAATCGAAGAGAACTGTAAAGTTCAGTTCCATTTTGCCCTGAAAGCCAATAGCAAACCAGAAAATTCTGGTAAAAATAAAAAACAAATAATCATTCCGGTTGAATCTTCAGGACCGTGACACTGAACGTGATTTAGGAGGAAATAAATCATGAAATTTCAGATTTCACTGAAAATTCAATGCACTTTGGCACTGAATATTCATATTAGATCGGAAATTCAAATCAGTAGCGAAGTGGTATAGTATTTTTCCGAGGTGCTGCGATGGGGTTTTTTACTCGTGTGACGTTGGCGTCCGAGCCGAAGGCGAGGACTGGCCAACGTCACACGAGTAAAAAAACCTCATCGCAACAGCCTGGGACACGATTTTTTTGTAGTGATTTTCAAGTTTTCGAGTTTGGGAAGTATGCAATACCAATTCCCAGACGAGAAATCGTGAGAAGCAGTACAGAAAAAACGATTTAAGCCAACTTAGCTCTTAGCTGAGTTTTCGAGGAATATCTCCGAATCTAAGGGAGATAGCGAAATCTGCCTTAGACTGTGAGATATTCATTACAAACTAACGAATACTCAAAATCAATTTAAACCGTTTTACCACTTTGCTACTGAAATAAATGAAGGCATTCTCGTCTTCATGTTGCTTAAAATTCTGGAATTTTTCTGAATTTTCAGTGAACCCTGAAATTTCATGATTTTTTCCCCTAAATCGTATTCAGTGTCACTGTTCTGAAAATTAGTAGTCAACTGTCCACGAAATTTCATTTTTTTTCTAACAGTATCAGCAATATTTCTCCATAATTTTCGCCGCTGAGCTATCCATATGTTACGAGGAACGTGAGAATGGGGAATGAGAAAGAATTGAGCTTCATACCAGCAGCGAGGCGGTAAACCGTGTCAAGTCGATTTTGACTTTTGGCCAGTTTTTGATGAATATCTCGGAATCTAAGAGAGATAGCAAAATTTTTCTCATGACCTTTTTTATAACCCTCAATTGGCTCAACAAAAAACATTTTGACAAAAATTTGTCTATCTTTTTTAGATTCCGAGATATTCGTCGATTTACCGCTTCGCTACTGATACAAATTCCCTATTGAGAATTCTTCATTGTTAATGGATCATTTTTGGCCCCGGACGTTGTGTGGCTATAAGATTATGGTAATGGGAGATTTTTAGATATTGGGACGATGACCAACATCAGAGGTTCAGTGGACTCTCATTAATTATTTAATAGCACTGGGCTACTGCCACCCAAAAAAATCCCATCCCGTTCCCATCAAATATGAATCATCATTTTTTTTAAGACCTTGATGTGTTCTTGGGTGAGATTGTATTTCACGATTGGATCCCAAAGTGGAGGTCAAGTTCATTGCCAAAGGCCTTTCGCGCATTCCGAATCCCCCATATTCGTCGCGAATTTCGGGAGGGTATTTATTCAATAATTTGAATATTTGAATAATTCGCGGATGCACTGCGATCATTCTGGTGCATCCCGTTATTCATGAAATATTCAGCAAAGCCAAAAATCTGTTGTTACTTAATATTATTCGATTGATCGAGTCAACGGCATTGCTCACGCACATCCCACGCCGTATATGCCTCTGTCAATTAGCAAACAAATATTAATTTCAGCTTCCTACTTCAGACCGGATAAAAATCGTCTTAATGCACGAAAATCCCATGAGAACATTCCCTATTATGAGCTTGCACAGTCCAAGCAGAGGCTTTCCAACGGAATAAAACCAAGATCCTCTGGCATTGATAAAATAATGAACTTGTCTTTATAGCATTCGAAATAGAATCGCGCACCAGGACATGTAACTGTACAGCCAACCGATCTCCAGGGACTTGACCATTCCCCTCATCCTCCTCCACAAAGTTAATTCAATGGAGAAAAAAAAATCGCGAGATTTTAATTCCCAAACCACGTGTGGGTGACATTGAAACGAATGTTAGAGAGGCCAGTGTCACTGACTCTCCAGTATTTACCTTATATAATCCTAGTATTATGTCATCTATGGTCACGGAGAACGGTGGATTCGAGGGGGGAATGCAATTCAGTGTCATAACATAGAAGAGATAATGCAACTTTCATCTCTCTTTTATATCTCTCTTTATCTCCCCATCTACTAGCTCGAATATCCTTGTAGCGCTGTTGGGGGGCTTTCCTCAATGACGTAGACTACCCTGAGAGCCAATGCACTCGGTTCTGCAATAAGTTGTGAAGCGACTTCATCGAATGAATCGATCGTGACTCGCGATAGCATGAATTCCCTCGCTTATTTTTTTTTTCCTTCATTTTTCTTCCTCATTCAATTCAAACATCTGGATCACAGCCAACTGGGACGAATGAAGTTACCGTTTTTTGTCAGCCATGATCCGATCAAATATACGGAATTATGCAGGAATTTAAGATTGAGGAAGTGTTGATACAAGGTCAATTCGTGTTGAAAATAATAGTTGTCTATTATCATACGTTTCATACCTAATACAAATTCTTTGGCATCTTTCGATTTTTCCAGGGGACGTCGCAACCTTATAAAAAAGCTTCAGTGGATTGCCCGGAGTTGGCCGAGACTACTGCTGCTGATAATGGTGATAACTCGAGGTGAGTCAATACTTTTAATTACCAAACCCATTACCCCTGGGGGATCTGTAAATGCCGGCGGCCTGACAAGTCAGATCGAGGGACTGGTTATTTAGGAAATTACTAGACTCAGCTGGAAATCAAGGAAGGAAATCAAGGAAGAAATCACCGGAAATCAGTGGAAATCACTGGAAATCAAGTGATTTACATTTTCGGTACACTGTTAGAAATTTCTTGAAATTTCAGTCACAATGTCATCTGAATTTTCAATGTTGTGAGTTTGAATTCAATTCCAAATGAAAACGTTTACTAAATCTCTCATTCATCTTGAAAATTCAAGTAACTTCGGTTTTTCATGTCAAAGAATCATTGATTCTTCAATGACGGCTTGAATTTCCAAACTCATAGTGAAAATTGAACATTACATATAATTTACTTTTCAATAGATTGAAAATTCAGAGAAGTTATTGTCTGAATTTTCAACATTTTCAAGGTTTTTTAGTGCCGTCTGGACCTGAAAATCGAGGGTTACTTGAATATTCAAGTAATTAATTAATTCATCAATGAATAAATATACAGAAATTTCATGTAACTTTGTCGTTGTTAAAAATTTCAAGCATTTTCACTTGAAATTTCAAGAGTAATTTTCTAACAGTGTAGTGATTTCCTAAGATTTCTGGAAATCATCGGAAATCAATAGAAATAATAAAGAAATCAGGTGATTTCCGAAATCATTAGAAATCATCGATAAGTGTAAAATCGAAATTGATTTTGCAGTTTCGAGTCTACAATTTTTGTTATGGCATCGGTGCGTTCGAAATCATCCAATTTCGAAATGTGACGCTATGAAGTTTTTGGCATCCTTACGTATTGTAACGTCATGTAGAATACTATCATTATTCACAGCTTAGCGAATTCGCTAGAAAATTCTATTGGAATTCTATAGGATTTCTATTTTCTATTTTGCGCCGATTCTATTGGATATTCAATAAGAAACAGTTAATGAAACAGTTAAGAAACAGATTTGGAATTTCTGTATGAAATTTTCTTAGATTTTTTTCTATTAGAATTATTGGGCTCAAATTTTCCAAGTTTTACCCGCTGGATTTTGATGTTTTCCATGGCAGAATCCGAGTGGAAGAAACTTAGAAAATTGATGGCCAAGCATTCTTATAAAAAAAAAATCAAGAGAAAAATTCAAGCAGAAATTTGAAATCTATTGACTTTTTCTTATCAAATATCCAATGGAATCAGCGCAAAAAACAAATAGAATATTTCAATAGAATTCCCATAGAAATCCTATAGAAACCCCATTGAATTCCTATAGAATTCCAACAGAATTTTCTAGCGAATTCGCTAGGATTATATTTAATTTTTTCATACATGTGGTCCCAAAACCATGACTTCTCCAGTGATTTCTTGAAATCAAGACTTCTCCAGTGATTTCTTGAAATCAAGAAATCATTAGAATCTACGAGAAATCATGGAAATCACAAGAAACCAAAAGAAATCAAAAGAAATCATGATTTCTAATGCTGATTGAGAAATCTCAAAAATCATTTGAGAAATCACAGAAATCACCAGGAAATCATCTGATTCTGGAAATCACTGAGCCACTCGATTGAGGAGTGACCAGCCCCTCGAGTCAGATACATATCTCAGTCGCATGCCTGTAAGACATGGGTGTGATGTTCGATGATGCGCAAGAGACGAATATCAAGAGTACACTCAATTATTTTTACACAAAGCAACTAGAAGTGCAAGTGGAATCTTAGTGCGGATGTTGTTGCCGTCAAACTGGTTCCACGAGGACATATCCATGGTAACCTTCGATAGAAGAAGGGGAAGCCCTACGCAATTCCCCCCCCCCCCCCCCCCC